GGGGGGGGGGGGGCACCCGTGAAGTGCGTGGCCGGCAGAGCGGGCCCGCCGGCAGGGGCTGGCAGATGCACGGCATGTGGCTGGCGGGGCTGCCAGGAAGGTTGATTGTGGGGCCTGCCACCTGGCGTGGGGCCGACAGTGCTGGTGCGTCATGCCGGGATCCGGCCCACGCAAGCCCCTCCGAAGGATCCATGTGCCCGGATTGGGCTTGCCCCACAATCGCATGACCCCCCGACCCACGGCCCTCCCTCCGGCGCCGACGCCGGCACCGGCGCCAGCGCCAGGGGCCGTTTCATCGTGCGCCCGCGGAGGCCGGGCCGGGTGAGCCCCCGGGGAATGCCCCCCCCCCCGGCGAGCGGAGCGCCCGTTCCTTCTATTTACTCGTGGCCGGAATTCCCGCCCGCCCCCCTTTGCTCATGGGGCGTCCTGCCGCCGGGCCTGTCTTTCCGCCGCTCGGCGAGGCCGTGGGAATGCTGGGCCGGCCTCCGGCGTGCCGGGTCCAAAATCCCCTCATCAAGGCAACACCGAGGGCCGAAACCCGCTGCTCATGTGGCAAAGTGAACTCATGGCCCGCCAAGCGCCGGCAGCCACATCGTCCAGGGCACCCTTTCGGCCGGGGGGGGGGGCAGGCGCCAATGGCAAGGGTCGACCGGGTGCCGGGCCCACTGCCTTCGCCGGAGGTCCGGGGAGGGGGAGGGGGGGCGTCCGCCCGGGCGTGCGGGCCACCTAGCCAGCTCGGGGCCCGGGGCAGGGGACCCGGCCGACCGCCATCCGGCAGGAAGAGGGCGGCCTGTCGGCTGCAGGCGCACGCGTGCGGCCCGTGCTGCCAAGTGAAGTGGCCCACAAACAGGGGACAAGGGCCGGGCTTCCGGCTGTTCTGCCCCCCTCCCCCGCGCGGCTGCCTGTCCTGGCACGCATGCTCACGCATGGGGCCACGCGCCTGCCGGGCTGCCCGGGCCCAGCGCCGGTCTCCCTCCGCGTCGATTGGCCGCCCGGCATGGCCGGGGTCGAGGTCGCCGGGGCCGGCATAACTCCATCGGGAATGTCTTGCTACGCCCTCCGCCTCCTGTATGCGCGCGCACACCCACCCTCTCTCGCGCGCGAGTGCGAGCGCTCATTCGCTCTCTCTCTCTCTCTCTCTCCCGGTCGGTGTATGTATGTGTCTGCGCGCAGGCCCCAAGTGACAGCCGGAGCCGGGGACACCTTCTGATTTGTTAATAGCCGCCATGGACGCGCTGGCCAGTGCGCCCGGACATGCCCCGCGCGAGAGGGCCACCGCGAAGCACGACATCCGTGGGCATGGAGGGCCCCGGCCGGCCATCCGGCCCCGGCCCCTTTGGGCGCGGCCCAGGCGTCTGGGAGTTGGTGACTGGGCCGCGGGCCACCACCCCGCCCGGGCATGGGCGGACTCGCACCCCCAATGGGCATGCGCCAGGACCGCACCGCCGCCGCACGCCCTCGGGCCGCCGTGCAGCCGCCGTAGCTCCACGCACATGGGAAGGGGCCAGACCCCACTGGGTGGGGCTTTGGGCGCGGGGCGGCGCGCCGGGTCCTGCGGGGCAAAGGCCGCACCGGCGCGCACGCCCGACGTCGCAGCGCACCAGTGGCGCCCTTTTGCACGCTCCCCCCAGTCGCGCACTCCCTGACATGCCACATGTCCGAAGAGAGGGCGCGAGGGGGCGGGCCGGGGAAGAATGCCCAAGGCTTGGCGCCTTGGCGGCGCACACAGCGTCAACCCTTCTTCGCGCCCGGTGCCCTTGCCTCTCGCGCGGCCGGGGCGACTGGGGCCACTCGGCGGGCGTGCTGCGCACCGAGGTGCCGCCTGCCCGGGGGGGGGGGGGACCCCCTTGGTGTCGGACTGCTGCCCCGGCGGCCGCGACTTCTCAGGGGATGGGGTGCCACCGCGGCCCCGAGGCGTCGGGACCACTGGCCGGCCGGGTGGCACGCCGGCCAGGGAAAATGCCACGGGCCGATGCGACCACCCTTCGGCCCCCCCCCCCTATCCTTCGCCCCGTGTGCGTCCGCCATTTCGCCCGTGAGGTCGGCTTCGGCAGGGGGGCGCCTCGACGAGGCGTGCCACCCGCGGTCACTCATGGGGCTGCCGCAGCCCGGCGCCTGGGCAGAGCGAGCGCCGCCCTGCGGCGGCAGGCGGTGTGGGCCTGGCCGGCGTCAGACGAGGCCCCGGGGCCGGGGCACACGGGCTCGCCGCCCGGGCCCTTGGGTCCTTGATGTTCCCTGAAAGAGGCGGAATGTGGCTCCGTGACGGTCGATGTCCCCCGGTGATGGTGGGCCATGCAAAACGTCTGATCCCCGGGCCCGGGGCGCCACTCCCCAGGTCGACGGCCAGGAGGCCATCTTGCGCGGCGTTCACACGCCCATTAGCGTGTGTGTGTGTGTGTATGTGTGTGTGTGTGTGTGTCTG